ATCTTTATTTAGAGAAACAAAAACTCTAGCTGTTTATTTTAGAGAAAGAAAAATAGGTAATGGGGACCAATAGACATTCCCATTATAGACTAATTTTTTATCTTAGCAAAAAAAGTATATTCCCAGGAAGGGCATACTAAAATTAGTAAAATTCCAAAGTTTGGTTGCAAAATGTTGTAAAATATGTAGAAAATATAGCCTTCCAAAGTTTGCAAATTTTGTATTCTTTTATATAATTGCAATTTTCGCATGCAATACAAAAGTGTACAAAATTTGCAAACTTTGCAAGGCTATATTTTCCGTATTTTGCAACAATTCGCAACCAAACTTTGCAATAATTTACTTATTTTAGTATGCTCTTTCTAGCTGGGGTGATTTATTTGCATCAAGGCCGGATTTTGAGGGAAGTGTGGAGAGGTGCGCACCTCCCCAGAGATCGTTTTGCACCTCCCCTGAGAATTTTTCCACCTCTCTTGAAAGGTCATGCACTTGCCCTTGGGAAAGTTTCAATGATGGAACAAAGTGAAAATGTGATGGTTGCTAGGATCTACACTTTGTGACGTAAGAAAGTTTTCTCTGTAAAATTGAAAAAGTGATAGCCATGTCAAGCACCCTTTTAATGCAATGTTTTGAAAGAAACAGTGTAGCAATTGCAATGAAGGGCAAGATTGGAGTCATACATTCATAATTCATTAATACACTGGTACATATTATGTACACTACATGCATACCTCACCTCATTGATATTGGCCTGTTCTACAATAAGCCCTAACTTTCCATGGGAGTTGTGAGCTAGACCGCTGCACCTCTCCTAAAATTTTTGTCCACCTCCCCCACTATTTTCACCAAAATCCGGCCTTGATTTGCATCTCTTTGCCTAGTTCTAAAATTAGTCTATAATGGGAATTAGTCTATTTACATGAACACGAGAGACTTTTTATTTGACTTCCATTTATGAATATTAACAGTCTATCATAAATATTGTTACTTGTTGTTAAGTTGTTTTGTGGTACATTTTTAAAACTACTGTTTTTTCAAACTGGTAATATTTTCAAAGCCCCCCTTCTTTCGTCTCTCTGTATTTTTTCAAAGCCCCCCTTTCAGGTTTTGAAAAATTTAAAGCCCCCCCCCCGTTTCTCCTCAATCCCCCTGTACAATAAATAATGAGCGGTCCCTAAGCGCCCTGGGAACTATTAAGCTTGAAACGCTTACTGACAGAGCCAACTTGTGCTGTTTTATTAACGCCGGGTACGTGGCAATTTTAAATTCCATACCGGTAATTTTAACGAAGTAATGAGTATATCAACGAGAAAATTTACAGTGAAAAAAACAAAAAGTGTACGTCCCGCTTCTGTAGTTTGTTGTGATTTACTGTAATTTGTTCTGTTTTTCTGCAAATATACCGTAATAAAACTTAGTTTTCTCTATTTTTAAATATGATAATTTGTAGCAAAGGGAAATAATACATTTTTCGTTACTTTCATTGCATAAAAGGTATACGAAATTTAAATTTTATCGCAGTATTTGCCGATAAATCGGTAATCGCTACAGAAAAACAGAACAAATTACAGTAAATCACAACAAACTACAGAAGCGGAAGTAGGATACTTTTTGTATTTTCACTGTAAGTGGTAGAATTTTGCAGGACTTGACCTAAATTCCCAAATCAGAGGTGTCAAGTCCGAGTTCTTTGATGCCTTTGATATCGATTCCAAGTCCGATGTGTTCAAGTCCGAGTCATACCCTCAAGTCCAGACTCGAGTCCTACAACACTGTAGATCATGTATCATGTATGTGGCTCCAACATGAAACAGGTTCGGTATATCGGAATCTTTTATTTGAAGTCAAGTCCTTTCCTCAAAAAACACGAATTGAAGAATTAATAGAATCAAAAATAAATGCTGGAACTTTCCACATTTATCTGAATACATTACTGTTATTTCACTTAATCACAAGATATTGCACCCTCCTCCTCTTTCCTAACAGCTCAGTGCCTTTTTTAACTATATATCTGGGGGGGCAATTGCCCCCCCAGGGAAAGAATTCCCCCCCCCCCCAGTAAAGCCAAATCTGCCCCCGAAGTGCGAAGCAGAATTGCTCACGATTGCTGTCAGAATTGCAGTTGATTTACTTGATAATGAGATTATGCCCTTCCATAGCCTCCTCCACAGCCATCTTGTGTGTAATTCATATTGTTCTTCACGATAGATTTAATAATAATAATAATAATTACAATATTTAGTCAGGGGGTCCACTCACGAAAGTGATTTTCAGTGGAGCCCTGATAAAAAAAAAGAATAAAAATATAAAACTAACAAAAGTGAATATATGAAAAGTTATATCGTATAAAGCAGTCTTGCGCATCCAATCGGTTCGGTAGTGAGTCCTATGGCTATGTAGCTAGATGTTTCTCTAGTTTAGTTTTAAAAGTTTTAATTTGCTGTATATTTCGGATTTCCACTGGCAGACTATTCCAGTCGTTGGCAGCATGGTAGCTGAATGCCTGCTTCCCCCAGTTCTTCTTGACGCGTTCCAAATGTATGTTCTGTTTGTTTCGAGTGTTGTAGCTGTGGATGTCAGAGGAGAACTTGAAATTAAATTTAAAATCGATGTCATTGTTTAAACACTTGTGCATGATTAGACAACGGTGAAGGTGTCTACGAGTTGCTAACGGCTGCCAATTTAACGATCGTAGGGATTCTGAGGCTGACGAGAGTGGATGAGCGTCAAGAATGATTTTAGCGGCTTTGTTGTGAAGAACTTGAAGGTGGTTCATCAGGACAGAGTTGTTTTTATCACCCCACACAAAATCAGCGTAGTCAAAGATCGGCATGACAAGGCTGTTTACTAGAGTACGACGAGATTCAACAGTTAGGAGGTGTTTAACTCTTCGTATGATACCAAGACGTTGATTAACTTTGGTAAAGAGTGCTTCAATATGATCTGACCACGATAATGTCTGATTTAAGGTTATACCAAGATACTTAAATGATTCAACACGATTTAGTGGGCTGTTATTAAGTAGATTTATATTTTGTAGTTTGGCAAGTTTGGCATTACTTCCAGAAACCATAAATTTGCATTTAGAAGTATTAACAGTTAAACGGTTAGCATCAAACCAACGAGATAAGTTCTGCAGGTCAGAGTTTAGCTTTTGTTCCAATTCAATCATGGTTTTAGCTGAGCAAAACAGGACGGTATCATCTGCATACAGGGAAATGTCACAGCTGTTAACAGTGGAGGGAATTTCATTCACATAAATGAGAAACAGTAAAGGACCCAGTATACTTCCTTGGTGTACTCCGACATGTACTGGTTGAGTGGACGACTGTTCAAGGCCAATAGAAGTGACTTGAAAACGATTAAGAAGAGAACGATAAGAAGAGAACCAGTTGATTGTTGGCTCTGAAAAACCAATAGTACCAAGTTTGTGTGAGACAATCGTGACTAACCATGTCGAAGGCCTTCAAAAGATCTAAGAAAACTGCACCGGCGATAGAACCTTTATCTAAATTATCCAGAATGTTGTCAGTGAAGTAGGTGAGAGCAATTGCCGTGGAGAGTTTTGGGTGGAATCCAAATTGTTTCGGGATCAGGATATTTTCACGAAGTAGATAGCTATAGACTTGACTATGAACAGCTCTTTCAAGTATTTTGCTACCAGTTGGTAGAATGGTTATTGGTCTATAATTATTGGCATTGCATCGGTCACTGGATTTGAATAATGCAGTTACTTTTCCACATTTCCAAACAGCTGGGAAGACGGAGGTTGCTAATGAGCGGTTGTAAAGTTTAGTCAAACTTGTTGTGATAATGTCAGCAGAGTCCTTTAGCAATCTGGCACTGATGTTGTCCAAACCAATCGCTTTGTTTGTTTTAAGACTGTTTAGTTTGGCTTTAACAAAACACTCATCGATTACATCAAAAGCAAACATTACGCCAGATTCAAGATGGTCTTTACAAACGGCAGCGGTGATGGTAGACATAACTGTGCGAAAACTGTGAGAATTTCGGAGAGTTGCCTGGGTTCGGTAGATGGACTTCCATTGACTTCAATACATGAAATGTTCGAGCTCGATTTACGTGAAGTAATTTCATTGAGGTGTTTCCAGAGAGTGTTTGGATTATTTTTAGAGATTTTAATAAGATTAAGGTAGTATTCCGATTTACTCTTTTTGACTTGTCTATTTACGTGGGATTTCAAACTTTTGTATTTGGACCAGTCAGAAGGAGAATTAGATTTGGTAGCTTTACGGAAAGAGCGGTCGTGTTCCTGCATAGATGTTTTCAACTCAGATGTCATCCAAGGAACATGACAATCTTTTATCCTAGTTCGTTTCGAAGGGGCATGACGTTCTGCAACATGTAAGAACAGCTTATTCCAAAAATTTACTGCGGTATTAATATCGGGGATTTCATCAACAATATTCCAGTCTACGTTCCTGAGCTCATCCAGAAATGCTTCTTTAGAGTAATGTTTATAGGAAGTATATTCGATTGTTCTGCCAGGACTCTTAGTTACACAAGCCTTGACAACACAGTAAATGAGGGAGTGGTCGCTAATATGTACCGGTAACACACCACTTGATACAATGCGATGTTTATTAACAAACAAGGGATCAATTGCTGCTGATGAGAGTTTGTTTATCTGTGTTGGAGTGTCGATGAGTTGATTTAAATTGTTTGTACTAGCAAAAAGATTAATTTTTTGTTTCAGCTGTGACTAGAAGTATTTCTTTTGGCAAGGACGTCAACATTAAAGTCACCAAGTAAAACTAGTTCAACGTCCTGGGGAAGTAAGGAGATCTTTGAATTTAAAGTATTGATGAAATTGGGTAATGGTGCATCAGGGGCTCGATAGATTGACCAGATGAGCATGTTTTTACATTTCGGCCGATTGAGTTCAAGGACACAAGATTCTGTGTTCTCATCTTGCAAGTCAGGCCGTGCTCGATAGGGTAAGCCATCACGAATATAAATCATGCACCCACCACCTTTTTTGCTTTTACGGTAATTTCTGACAAAAGAATAACCTTGAATATTTATGATGGTCAGGACATCGAAAGGATTATTAAGTAAACGAAGGCGCAGTGAATCTATCTTATTAGTTATGCTTCTTACATTTAGATGTGCAATTTTAAGTCCACGGTTACTTGGAAAACCAATGTCACTAAAATTCTGTGAATCTTGAGGGATATTGGTAGGTCCAGGGTTTCGGCTGACATCTCCAGCTAGGAGTACAAGGGAGTAAGCATGTAAACCAGCATTTATAAGTTTAATTCCGGCTCTAACTTTAAATGATGGGGATATATTCGGGTGATTTGATTTACGGGGACATCCACAATTCCTGTTTGGATAACTTGCGATATCAGCCCCTATAGATATCACGAGCGATATCCATGAGTTGCACGAGTTGAGGAAAATGAAAAGGAACAATACCAGTATGAGTGAAGAAAGCCAGAAGGCAATATGTCTCGGCATAATGTCTAGATATGAGAGGTTTCGTATATGTTA